ATTCAACTTTGTGAAGGGCTCTGGCCATTTGGGGCAGGAGCTGCTACTTGCTTCATTACCTCTCTTACGGGGCCATTTTCGCATGCTAGTTTAGTCCATTTTTGTCCATTGTTTGGCCTTGCTTAAAACTATAAATATGCTTGTTTTGGACTTTCTTGAATCTTTCTTCACACTTCATGTTCAAATAATGCATGCTTTGTATAGCTATAAGTCATTCATGGCCTAGTTTTCGAGTTTCGGGTCTCATTCCATGCATCGGGGTGCCATGTTTCCATGATTCGGGGGCTGTTTGTGTCATATTTAAGCGCTGAATTTTCATGTTTGCATACCATGTCTGCATACCATGTCTCATGCCTTGCCATGCCCTTTTAGAGTGGCATTTGTGCCTTAGGTTCGGTCCACGGTTTGTGTGCATGTGTGCACGCATTTCGAGTGTCTCATTTTCATCTCATGGCCTCCTATGTGAGTGCGGCTGAGGTTCCACTCACGTTGGTGTAAGCCATATTGCATGTGTATGCCATTTCACTTCATATACATTGTGTATGCTAGGCCGTATGTTAGCGCATTGTGTATGCCATGTTTATCCGTGCATCGTGTATGCATTTCCTAGCATTGTGCATGTAGAGTTTATCTTAGTTGCATTTCATGCATGTCATGCATATTGCATCGTGTTGGGATAGGAGTTAGCCCGAGCACGGGAAACGAGGGGGTTTCGTACTCGAGTGACAGAAACGTGTCTCAATTCCTCGGTCGCCGACACTCCGGATTATCCAGGATGGAGTCTAGGCCTTGTTTTGTGCCATATGTGCATTCATTTCATATTGAGTCGTGCAATTTGACTCCTCGGCCATCATGCATCGAGATGCGTGATTGGTTGACGAGGATCGAGGACTACATTCCCTAAAGATAGTCATGCATACATATGTGAAAATACTTTGCCATGCCCCCTTGTTGCTCTCTGTTGCAGCAAATCAGAAATCGACAGCCTTCCGGAGCTTGGCACGCATTCCAAGAACAATTGCAAACAGAGCCAAACCGGGGCATCGCGTGGATTTCTGCACAAAGCAACCCGACATGCATCATCATATCCGATATAAGCAGCGTCGAGGCAGTCCCTAGCTTGCATGCTAGTTTACAGCTTACCTAGTTTAATTTGTTAATTAATTTAGGATTTGTAATTATTTGGACTGTAATATTTATTCGGACTGATATATTTATCGGACGACCCTCTGTGCGAGGGCAATGTTGTAATAAGTGTGTGTGCGTGTGATTTATGTCTTCCAACCCCACGTCTTTCTTCCCTTTTATTTACCTGCTTATGATGGTTAGATTAGGGCATGTTTCAATTAGCATATAGTATGATAGCATGTTTGCATTCATTCATTTGTTTTGCATGCACCGGGCTCGGCGCATCATACTAACTGCATTGTATTTTCAATTCCAAGTTGAATACATGTTAGCTGTAGCATTTCATATGCTATGTTTAAAATAGCCGAGCCTATCTTAGTTGCATTTTGCATGTGTTGCATTAGGCATTTCTGTATAGCTAGGATCATGCATGGATTTCTAATAAGCTTCTGTTTTGGCGTGGAGTACTCGGTAAGTTTTATGCTTTAGCATCCTTGCATGTGTGTGAGTGACTGTCATGAAGAGCATGCTTACAATGAGGCTATATGCTTATGTGATATAATTGCTTGAATGCCTGTGGGTGAAGGTTGGGTTATTTAAATTGGAACAATTCATCAAATGTATGTTTTAAGCCCATTAGATAGTGGCAAAATCATGTATTTCTAAGCCCGCCCGAGGGTGGCAAATCCATGTCTTAGCCTACTTGCGGGTAGCACCATCAAACCATTTTCAAATAAACAAACATGAAATGTTTTGTTCCAATTCAGGCGATCCAGTCTATACTTGTATGCTATGCGCATCACATAGTAAATCTAGGCTAATAACCAGAATAAGAACGCATAATATTTTCAAAAACAGATATCATGGTTAGTAGAGGCCGATCTTTGATCGGGCGAGCGGGGGTGCTCACGAAGTGACCTTCCCCAATCGTACCCAAGTTCCCGAGCCGAGGCAACTTTGGTGATGACGGACACGTGGCCTTAGGCAAACGAGTCAGGGTTTCCTAAATTTCCCCAAAATAAAACATTTAGGTGGCGACTTTGTATCTGGCAAAGCAGTCCATATTTGGCAATTCTTTCAAAATCTGTTTTCTCAAAACGATTTGCCGGATTTGGACTCTTTGGTTCAGACTTAGAACCGTGACAATTTGAGAGTCCGAGCTGTAGTGACCCCAATACGAACGGAACGGGGACCTCGTTCCTCCCCGTGGCGTTTGGGGACATCTACAATCAACAAATCAAATGTTTCAAATGCATGCAACTTTATTGTGGACAATTAGTGATTTTCCTGCATATGCAAACTTGTCAAGATGGAGCACTAAAGGCGAATATGCATGTCCTTGTTGCAATAGGGAAACTACATTGTGTTGGTTGAAGCATAGTAGGAAACAATCATACTTGGGTCATCGCAGATTTTTACCTAGTGGCCATAAATTCCGAAAGGATAAAGTATCATTTGATGGTAGTTGGGAAGTCAGATTCAAACCAAAATTGTTGTCTGGAACTGAGATGCTGCTACAATTAGAATCTGAGGGTATTTTAACCCAATACAAGAGGGATGACCTTAAGTAGAGGCATAGGAGACAAGTAGAGAAGGAGAAAGCTGGACATCACACCCATAGCTAGAAGAAAAAGAGTATCTTCTATGAACTACCATATTGGGAGCACAATCTAATTAGACATAACCTCGATGTGATGCATATAGAGAAGAATGTTTGTGACAATGTGTTGTGAACAATATTAGGGGTTGTAGGAAAATCAAAGGATGGTGTTAATGCTCGGCGTGATTTACAAGAAATAAATATTAGAAAACCCCTACATTTGTAGTTAAGAGGGTCGAATAAAGCTTATTTACCACCTGCACAATTCACGATGACCAAGGATGAGAAAGATTTGTTCTTGAAAGTATTGAAGGAAGTTAGAGTTCCCGACGGGTATTCATCCAATATATCGCGTCGCGTACGCTTACATGATAGAAGTATTGGGGGTCTTAAGAGCCATGATAGTCATATTCTGATGCAACAACTAATTCCATTGGCCATTCAAAGATCGTTACCGAAGAATGTAATTGAACCTTTGATTGAATTGAGCAATTTCTTTAGACAATTGTGTTCCAAAGTGAATCGTGTGACGGATTTGCAATATATTCAAGATCGTATCGCTGTAACACTTTGTCATCTAGAGACAATATTTCCTCCTTTTTTTGATATAATGGAGCACTTGCCTATCCATCTAGCTGACGAAGCATTATTGGGTGGATCGATTTAGTTTCGATGGATGTATCCAATTGAAAGGTATCTTCTTACTTTGAAGCAATATGTGCGTAATAGAGCTCATCTAGAAGGTTCAATTGCTAAAGGATATCTTATGGAAGAATGCATGAATTTTTGTGCACAATATCTCAATGATGTGGAAACTAAATCTAATTGACCCGTGAGGAACTACAGTGGTGATGAAAATCTGGGTCGTGCTGTTGGTGAAATCACAAGCTTTTATCTTGATAACACTTCTTGGGCACAAACTCATCGGTATGTCTTATTCAATACATCTACGGTTCAACCATTCATAAAGTAAGTTATGTCACTCACTCAATATTTTATTATGTTTCATTGAATTTTGAACCAAATTTTGTTTTTTTTGATAAAATTTCAATCTACACAGCAAACACCTTGAAGAACTTAAGGTCAAAATGCCTCGTGTTGATGATCATCAGCTTCGGCATGAACATTTTGAAACTTTTCACATTTGGTTCAAAGAACATGTATGTATTTAAATCTACAGATTCTATTTACCTAAGTCAAACTACATTTTAAATTTTACAATTTTTATTTTTTAAAATAGGTTCAAACTTTGCGAAGGACTAGTGATGTCACATTTTTTGAAGAGATTACTGTATTGGAAAATGGTCCTCATAACCTGGCAAGGAGGTTCAACGGGTATTTAATGAATGGGTTTCGGTATTGAGTAAAGGCCATGGATGACCATCTAGCCACACAAAATTGTGGTGTAGCTTTGAAGGCCGATACCATAAGTTATGCTAGTCGGAAAGACAAGAATCCTCGTGTGGGGTCTGTGTACTATTATGGACAATTGACAGATATTGTTGAGATTTGATATTCCAATAAGAAGAAGTATGTGTTGTTTAAGTGTGATTGGATTGACAACATTCACGAGAAGATACAAGATGTCTTCAATTTCACGTTAGTCAACTTCAATCATTTGTTGTACTGAGATGATCGAATTACCAATGAACTTTTCATCCTGGCATCCCAAGCAGAGCAAGTTTGATATGTTGCAGACCCATTACAACCAGACTGGCAAGTGGCGGTGAAGATGTCTCAAAGAGGTTTATTTGATATGAGTTCGACTGATCCACAAATCGAGCCATATATGAGCCAACAATTGGAAGAAACTATAATGCTTCGTGATGAAGAAGTTTGTTGGGTGAGGGAAGCTGTAGAAGAGGAAACAGTTGATGTTCAAATAGGCTGATATTTAATCAACATCAGTAATTCAATTAAGGCCAAGGTTGTAGTTAATCAACAGTTTCTTAATTTACTTTGTCTTTGTAATTGTGTTAGTTCAATTAATGTCATATTATAGTTGATGACAAACCATTGTCTATGTTTCTAATGTTAATTAATGTTATATTACTTACAGATTATTATGAGAAGGAAGAGGAAGCCTGATCATCCTCGGCGCATGATGTCCGATGTGGTACGTAAGAGGACATCAGCGGCACCACCATCAGAGAAGGCATCACATTGACCACCATCAGAAGGGCCACTAGTGCCACCACTATCTGACCAGCCACCGCAGCGACCACTATTACTGGCACCACCATCAGAGGAGGCATCACAGCGAGCACCATTAATGCCATCACATCGACCACCATTAGTGGCACCACAACAGCTATCATCTACTCAGCCTCCACGCCTACCATTGGTGCGTCCACCATCAGTGGCACCACCATTAGAGGAGGCATCGCAACGAGCACCATCAGAGGGGCCATTAGTGCCACCGCATCGACCCCCATCAGTGGCACCGCATCAGCTATCATCCCGACTAGAGTCATCGGCTTATGAGCCATCCGCAGGTATATAAATTTGCTTTGATTTGTATGAAAATTATTTAAATATATATTTATTTGTTCTCATTACATATAACTTGTTTATTTTCATTGTATTTTTCAGACCCTTCGACTTCTTCACAGCCTCCCTCAGGTATAAGAAATTGATTTGTATTGACATTATTTAAATTTGCATTTGTTTATTATCATTGCATATTGTTTATTCTTATTGTATCTCGCAGGTCATGTTAGTTCTTCATCAACATCGAGTAGGCGTGGTAGAGGATGTGCCAAGGGCATTAGGGAGTGGGGTACTGGTACAAAGTTGGACATACAATTTGATGAAAATTAATGTCCAATAGGGGATAACGTGTCTAAGTTAACTACTCAACTTGGCATTATTGTGCGAAATGGTAATATTGTTCCTCTTACTTTTCTTGATTGGAACACTGTGCCTGATGACATTCTTGATGCTATCTGGAAGGATGTGAAGGTAAAAATATATTTTTGTCCAAAAATTTAAATTCCAAAATTGTGCTATTATTATTTAAACTTTGAAATTGTGTTTTATAGGACAATTTGAATATATGTCCAGAGGAGTACAAGCCAATTTGCATGAAAAACTATAACAGTATATGGAAAGATCACAAGAATAAGATTAAGTCTAAGTATTTCAAGCCTAGAAGTGAAGATCCTAATTTGAAGGATGATGTTCCTTTGCACATTGTGCCAAGCCAGTGGGAAGAACTTGTGGAGTATTGGCGTACTTCTGATGCTGAGGTATACAAATAAGTTATATGTACGATATGTAAACATACAAATCATATTTATATACTTACATTTGTTGAACCTGTTATAGAAAATTGCAACTAGGAACGCTAAAAATCGGAGAGCTCACGGCATAGCTCACACCACAGGGCGTACTACTTTCGCTCAGATACGGCATGAGGTTTATATTTTATTGTTTTATTTTTGTATATAAATAAACATTGTATATTTGCAAATTATTTGGATTCTAATTTTCATATTTCTAAAAAAATGTAGATGACCAATAAGGGAGAGTCTACTGATAAGATGAATGTTTAGCTTATGACACGTAGAGTAGATGACCCCAGAGGTTATACAGACCTTGGTAGTTTCCAAACACCTTTGATTGTATTTAAAGTTTATTTTTTATTTTTTCTGTGTCAACCATCTTAATTTGGTATATACTTGTATGTCTTATTCAATACAAGATGAGTTTAATGGCCAACTCTCTATGCTACCTGACGGTTGTCAGACTTTGAAGGCTAGGAATGCCATTTTCCTGAGTTGATAGGTCATGACAATCATGGATATTGTCACACATATGGGAGAACTGTGCCTCGAAGAGCAGTGCATAAAGATGATGCTCAACCATCACAGTCAGTACCCCAGCCATCGACTATTGTTCAGATCACCCAGCAGGTTCGTGTGAAGCTAAGGGATGAGTTGAGGGAGGAGCTACGAGCAGAGTTCTCTACACATTTACAGCAGTTGAGAGCTGAGATGATGGCCTTTGTGTCACAGGAGGCAAGTGTGGATCCCAACAGACAGGTTCGATATAAATTAAATTGTTTGATAGTTAAATTTTCACACAACATTATGTATAAAATTCGAATATGATTAACACATTATGCATTGACAATCATAGGCTCCTGATGCATCGAGTGGCCACCGGGCATTTAGGGAATCTGCGGAAGACAAGAATCCATATACAGCACCACCAGAAGATCAAGTATAAAATGTATCTTTACATTCTGAGCTAAATGTATCTTTGAATTCTTTGCATTGTAAGCTAAGAGACTTGTGGGAGAAGACAGGACTCAAATTGGGTTCTCGGATTAGGAGTTAGAGACAGATTTGACTCTAGGCAAACACGTTCTTTAAGAAACTTGAATTCGAGGTGTTAACGCCACAAAATCACCAAAAGGGATCAGTTTAGCATGAAACTTGGCACACACGACCACCTAGGCACGAGAGACTTGTGGGAGAAGACGGGACTCCAATGAGGTTCCTGGTTTGGGAGTTAGAGCCCTATTTCACTCTAGGCAAACTAGTTCTTTAAGAAACTTGAATTCGAGGTGTTAACGCCCTAAAATCACCAAAAGGGGTCGGTTTAGTACGAAACTTGGCACACACGACTGCCTAGGCACGAGAGACTTGTGGGAGAAGACGGCACTCCAATGAGGTTCCCCGTTTAGGAGTTAGAGCCCTATTTCAGTCCAGGCAAACTAGTTCCCTAAGAAACTTGAATTCGAGATGTTGACACCCCAAAATCACCAAACGGGGTTGGATTGGCACGAAACTTGGCACACACGACCGCCTAGGCACGAGAGACTTGTGGGAGAAGACGGGACTCCTATCGAGTTCCCGGTTTGGGAGTTAGAGGCCTATTTTGGTCTAGGCAAACTAGTTCCTTAAGAAACTTGAATTCGAGGTGTTGACGCCCCAAAATCACCAAACGGGGTCGGATTGGCACGAAACTTGGCACACACGACCGCCTAGGCACGAGAGACTTGTGGGAGAAGACGGGACTCCAATGGGGTTCCCGGTTTGGGAGTTAGAGCCCTATTTTGGTCTAGGCAAACTAGTTCCTTAAGAAACTTGAATTCGAGGTGTTAACACCCCAAAATCACCAAACGGGGTCGAATTGGCACAAAGCTTGGCACAAACGACCACCTAGGAATGAGAGACTTGTGGGAGAAGACGGGACTCCAATCGGGTTGCCGGTTTGGGAGTTAGAGTCGGATATCACTCTAGGCAAACTAGTTTCTTAAGAAACTTGAATTCGAGGTGTTGACCTCCCAAAATCACCAAACGACGTCAATTTAGCACGAAACTTGGCACACACGACTGCCTAGGTACGAGGGACTTGTGGGAGAATACGGGACTCGAATTAGGTTCCCGGTTTGGGAGTTAGGGTCGGATTTCTGTCTAGCCAAAATTATTTACTTAACTATCTTTGTAATTATATAGTAGTTAATTTTTTATGTTTTTTTGTAATTTAAATATTAACACATAATTATATTGTCATTAATTATTTTTATTTTTTATTTTCAGATATTTCCTGAGTAGTAGTTTGCTTTTTGTGGAATGCAGGCATGTGAAAGATTGTGACAAACTTTTGTTTTTGTAACTCACGGAAGAATCATGACGAATACTTTTATTTTTAATTTACGTTATTTAGATTTGTGAACATTATTTATGTATTATGCAACATTTTGTGGTGAGATAATTTTGATGATGTGTTGTTATGAATGGAAGAATACTTTAATTATGGATGAATTTTTATTTATATAAGGAATTTTTATATTATTATATAATTATTAGTTTTTTTTATAGTTATTCAAAGATATTGGCATTGTTCGTAAATTGAAACAAAAGACCTTTAGCGACGGTATCCTTCACCATCGCAAATACTTTTTTAGCGACAGTATTTTTACCGTCGCAAATAACCATTTAAGCGATGACATTTTTGCGGTCTCAAATAGAACTTTTAGCGGCGTTATTTTTACCGTTGCAAATAATCTTTTTGCGACGGCACCACAGTGCCGTCTCAAAAACTTCAAATTTCTACACATTAATAGCAACCGTATTTAGCCGTCGCAAATCTCAAAAACTTCAAATTTCTACACATTAATAGCGATCGTATTTTGCCGTCGCCTATATTTTGCGACGGCATCACACCGTCGCTAAAGGCCTTTAGCAACCTCCTTTGTTGCGACCCTCTTATTACCGTCGCTAAAAGCCCGTTGCCATAGCAAAACAGCTTTTGAGACGGGGTTTTGGGTATTCGCGACGGTATTTTACCGTTGGAAAAAAGTATATTTTTGTAGTGAGAGAGGCTTACCGAATTCTGATTGAGCCTCCGGTGGCTGGTTATAGATATGTCAGAGCTCCTAACTCACCTCTGTTGTGTACTGCAGTTTTCATTTTCTCCATTCTCTCTGATATTCATTCCTTCCGGACACTGATCATTCCCAAATGCACTTGTTGGTGTAGACACCCCATTTTTGACCGTCCTCAAAACTTGGATGTTTTTTTAAGGTACATCCAGTGATGAGTTTGATTGCTTATACAGCGCTCGAAATCTGCAATAGAACACCATAGGTTTGAGCTTTCCAAACCCTACATCAATTTTATCTCATTTTTGGACCATGTTTAGGTCCTTTCAACATGTTATTTTTGATCCACTACCGGCCATGGATTTTGGCCTACCTGCCATTGATGTGCCCTGCCAACCATCAATGAGCCCCTGCCGGCCATCACTGATGGCCGACCGACCACAAGTGTATCAGTAGATATTTTATGATATTTTGTGCCAGCTGTTTGCACAGATTAAGCTATCTTCTTGCACGTGTATGGCTGGATCTCTTTGAAGGGATTTTGTATCTTCTATATATAGGAGCCCTCCTCTTGCATGTGAGGGGTTAGAAATTTTGAAGGCAAAAAAATTCTCTCTCTCTCTCTCTCTCTCTCTCGAATCCTCTCCCTCTTGATATTTTGTGCCTTAAAGCCTAAATTCTCTACACTCTTGCATGTGAGCCCCTGATTAAACTTGATCACCATAGAGTTGAGGCTATTTAAGGCCCTCTTTGAGCTATAGAAGAATATTTCGGCTTCGTTTGGCTTGATTTTGGTGCCTAACTTGCATCTTGCCTTCAAGAGGTAGAACACTTGTGTTTTAAGTTTAATTTAAATATTTGTTTTTCCATCTTTGCATGCTATTTTGAGGCTGGTTTTAACCTCTAAAAATCTCTATTTTATGGTCTAAAATGGTGGTTTGAGTTGTGTTTTGGAGTTAGGGGTTGTACACCCTTCTTGTAGCCTACCAGTTAAGTTGTTGTGCCATCTTTCAAAGCGTTCTAAAACAACTTTTTTTGGCTCTTTTAACCACTAAATTCTAGGGGATTTTCAGTGGTAAAAACAATGTTTTGAGGTCCAAAATGAGAGGGGGTAGCCTCCCCTCCTCGTGTCTTGTTTGCATGTGTAGATAGCTTAGCATGTGACCATGTTTTTCTAGCTTTTTGTGACCTGATCTCAGCATGTTTTTGCTATTATTTTGGTATGTTTAAGCTCTATTTTGACCTGGTTTGGTCCCTTGAGGCTTGCTTTGTATGCTTGTAATGCAATTGTGCTTAATAGTCTAGTTTGTGCTATGTGTTGGCCTTTCATTCTAGCCTTTTTTTAGCTTACCTCAAGCATGTTTTAGGACTCCTTTTAAGCTCTTTTAAGACTGTTGGTCCCTTTTGAGCTTTGTATTGCATGCTTATAGTGTAGTGATCTTCACTAATTTGGTGTTTTGGGCTTTTAAACATGTCGTGCATGAGTTGCTTACATGTTGTAATGTCATTTTACATGTAAGTTCAGCACATACAACTCTGCAACCTCCCTCATTTCATCACTTTTTCATTTTCTTTGAGGGTTGCTTAACCTTATGGTTGTGTTTAAGTTTGAGATTGAGATTTATGCTCAATGGTTTTAATCCTCTTTTGAGGGTTTCTACTAACGAAAGGCATGATCTCTCTCTTGCCTTAAGTTATCCCTTGGTTGACACCTCTCACATTAGAGGACTCTCACTTTTGGACTAACTGATTAAACAATGGATCAGTAACTAAAATGAGTAAATAAAACATGACGAGTAAAACTTGAGCAAGTTAAGGATGTTGTGTTGCATTGCATGTGTTCAATCGGACGTTATATTGAACACATGGTAGATTGGAGCATTTCATACTCAAAGTGATGAAATGAGCCAATCTCCTTAGTCCCTATTGCCTTTGATCACTCATGATATGGTAGTGGTCTAGAGTCTTGTTTTTGTGCATTTATTAATAGTGTGCAACTTGGATCTTTGGCCATCATGCATTGAAAATGCTTGATTGGTGGTTTTGGATCAGAGAGTGCCACTTCTTTGATGTTTTGAGATGATAATGAGGGGCATAGTACAAACATACCCTTGGAAAACCCTTCATTTTCCTTTGTTTGTGCTCTGTTGTAGTGTGGTTACTCAGAGCACCAGTGGCCTGCAGTGGCTCGTTGGTGGCCAGTAGTGGCTCACCTTTGGTCGGCAAGGCACATTTTTGGTCGGCAAGGGGCTGACAGCAAGCATCCATGGCCGGCAGGCCACTGGTACAATCCTCAACATTGATTTGGTAAGGTGGACCAGAAAGATCCTGGAGTATGGTCAACCCTGCAAACAGAGCCTCTCAAGAGCGAAACTGGAGACCGAGTGCATGCATCCTCTATTTCCTAAAGCAGAGCTGAGGTAGTGTAGTTTAGTGCCCTAAATGTTTAGTTAGTGTACAATGGCTTTGTAATTTAATTAATTAGTTTGCTATTTAGTTAAGTGTTGTAATAATTAAGTAGCTTAGCATAACTATTTCCTTATTTTGATTTGTAATAATTAGTTTAATTAGATTAGTTTGATTAGCTTAGCTTAGATTAGCTTAGCTCTTATTTATTCGGACCCTCTTCGCGAGGGCATAATGTTGTAATAAGTGTGCATGCGTCTGTGCATGTCTTCCAACCCCACCTCTTTCTCTTTTTTATTTAACTGCTTTCGATGGTTAGATTAGGGACATTTTCAATTAGCATACCTTATGCTTGCATCCATTCATTTGTCTTGCATGCACCGAGGCTCGGTGCATCATTCAAACTGCATTGCAATTTCAATACACTTTTTTGAATACGTGTTTAAAAGCATGTTATCAAATTGAATCAAATCATATGCCATATTAGTAGCCGAGCCTTTTAATTTCATATTGCATGTGTTGCATTAGGCATCTTAACATAGTTAGGATCATGCATATTTCTAACTAGCTTTTGTTTTGGCTTGGAGTACTCAGTAAGCTT